ATCATGATTTGCGTCCACCGTCTAGCCGCAGTTACCACAGCGCGCGAGTCTGAACGAGTCTCCCGATGCTTACGAATACGTGGGGCGAGCTAGACACGCGAATCTCGAGATACTAGAATCTAGCCGCACTCCCTCGGCATGCGGAACTGTCACGCTGCTCGAATCGCTTGAAGAACATTCTCGTTGCATCATAATTGAAGTTATTGCCTTTTTTCCTCCTTGTCGTCAAGCGATTCCCAGTTTTGCTCATGCCACTGCTGAGCGATCTAGTTAGCTGGCAAGCAAGCAAGCTCGAAAGCAAGCGTCTTATTGTGTCCTCGCAACGAGCCGAGGATTCAGGAGATTGGGAACGGCACGTTCTCCTCCATCGTACCTTCCTTTGGATATTAAATATCTCGGTATAGCGAGCGAGCAACGTCGATTATGACGATACAGCGGAGGAGGAGGAGAGGAACGCAAGCGTGCAGACAGGAAGGCAAGCGGGCAGGCAGGCAATTTCGAGCGGTTTCCGCATGCTTCAAGTCACCGATGATATTCATGGCTTCTCAGCCGTAGCTTCTCGAATCTCCAAGACCAACAAGCGGTGGGAGGGGCACTCGCTCGAACTCGAATCTCCGAAACCGCGGCTCTCACCGAATTCCTGAGGAGCGATCAAGGCAACGATCCGCCACCGGTGTCGTCTCGTTGTTCGGATCCACCTTTCGAGCAATCTACTTGGGAATTTCGACTGAGGGACGTCGAACGCCAAGAATTCCGAGGTGAAGGCTTGGAGTGATTCCTCCACATACTAGAGAAGAACCAGATATGCGCACCTCACCCGGTTCCCGACAAGCATCCGTTTCCGTCAGATGGTCCGACCCAGCCGCGGGATTTCCCGCCGTGGTAGTGCAGAAGTTCCGATATTTCGAAGACCAAATAGTGCCTCCTTCTCCTTCTTCTCCGAGCTCTGGAACCATCGGCGCGTCCAGCAGCGCCGATCCGGGATCAACCGCAGCGGGTAAGCCTGAAAAAGTTCTATTGGTCTATTCAAAACGAAGTTATGTCGGTCCGTTCGACGATGCTCTGGTTTGGTCAGGCTAGCCGGGCGCCTACAGAGCGTGGAGCTGTGGAATCCAGCGGCGCGGTGAATCCATCAGAAAGGAAGAGAGCCACATTTAGACAAGGGTCTCCACGAATTTCCATTTTTATGAGGAGGCAAACGCTGCGGATGGAGATTGATGTCCTTCACGGTCATCACAAGTCGTCGACCAAGGAACGCTTCTCCTCTCCCCGTGATGCCGCTAGCTCGTGATCCCCGACGGCGCGAGTCTTCTTCTCGTATCGAAAAAGAGAGTCATGATCGTTACTCCGGGTTCTCCCTCATCTTTGCGCCGCTGGATGCACTCCAGCCTTCCCAAACATCAGTTCCATAGTGCAGTCTCACGAACGATTTGCTTGCCATAGGAGCTTCCCGGCTCGGAGTGAAACTTGTTCCCACTTCGATTGCGATATCACCTCCCTATACTGTGGGTCTCTTCCTCTTCCTGCTTGGCGAGCAATGGAGCTCCGGCTCTGTGAGCCAAGGTGAGGGCCAGCCAAACACCTAACGCAAATTCATGCCGCATGCATGCGGTGATTGATGGGGTTCCCCAATGGATGGGGCAATGGATGGGAATACGGGTCCATGTTCACATGCACCGGGAAGCCTAACTCGACATCTCGAAAGACTGGTTGCATGGATAGCGCGTGCCTCACTCTGGTCGCTGAATGTAAGCTAGATTCCGCGGGCTCGTCCATAAGTGACGTGAGTGTCCATAAGTCCAAACGTGAAGGAGTCGTCGTAACCCGACCGGGAGCGATCTCGGAAAGATTTGGCACAAACTTAGAGCCCGGAGCGCTTTCCCCCGTGCCCCTTGCGTCTCAAGAGCAAATTAGCGGATCGAGAGACATGAGCCCGCGAAAACGATCCCTCTCGTACTCTGGGAAATATGAACATTCGCCATCATATGGTCGCGGCGACTATGCGACGATGTCCATGCTCGTTCAGTCAGACAGAAGTACAGTGTTTTCTCTTACAAGGAATTTCCCGTACCGAAAACACGATTTTCCCTATTCCTTACATCAGTTGAGTTGAGATATGTTCTGACCAAGAATACGAAAATCTAAATATAAATGTAGAGTGTATGCCCAGTAGCTTCACCGACCGATTAGAGGAGATGCGTGGGTTTGAGTCCGAAAGTCGGCGATCGGAACCGTGTTGTCGTGCTTGATTCCATAGGAAAAGGGAGTCAGATAGATCAAGAATGCCTATGACTCCATTCCCCGGCTCGAAAGCCTATGCCCCACGTGGACATGCGCGGCTTCTCGGGGACAAAGCTACCCTCTCTTCTCGTATGACTTCCCTCACATAATAACGATCATCATCTGATTGGTTCAACCTTTCTGCGGCGTCAACCCGCTGGGCGACCATTCATATGCGGTATCATTTTTTCCGACGTGAGTAGAAGAACACTGTTCAGGGCCTTCCATTCAAAGCCGTGATAGCAAATTCGTGTTCCGGTTCGGATTTTCGGCCATATCGTCCTCATCGTTTCTGATGCACTTCAATACTCGCCACATTCATCCACTCAATGGATTCATTCCGTTTTCGCTGCCCCTATCCGAGGGGACACGAACGCGCTGGTTCCTATGCTACCCCTCTGGTTTTCTTCTCGAACATACTGCTCGTGAAAACGGACAGTATATCGGGAATATCCGAGTTCCAGCGACACGGTCCTCTGGCTTATCGACTCAAGCGCATATCGGCCTCAAATGAATGGTATCGTTCAAATCGGGCTCTGAACAACCTGATCCGGATTATCCTAATGGACCCCTGGGAGCCCCCCCCCCTTGGGTACGCTACTGATCTTCTCTTGCGGCCTTATGATATCTAAATCGACAGGGATTTAAGGTTCCTGTAACCTGTGACTCCGTATGATCACCGCGAACTTCAAATCGTGTTGGAATCAGACCGATTTGGCGGATAAGAACCGGTCGCGATCTCCGAAAGTGGGGAACAAGGATCACCGTCGGCTCATGATATTGGTGGTCATCTGCAATTACTGCTATCTGACTTCAGGCTGTTGTTCATGGTGCTATTTGATCTGATATCTTCTCCAGCGATCTTCATATATCAATGATCACTCCAATTTCACGAGCGCCGATAAATATCCTCTATAT